AAGGCAAAACACCCACTTGGTCAGCATATGACCATTAAGCGAGCGAGAGATGATACGAACTTTGCTGAAAAAACACTCACCTCGAGCGGGGCTACAACCGCTTCGGCACTGCGACCCTCCTCTAACGGCGGTGGCGGTGGCGGAGGCACGGCCCCTATATCCACTGGTGGCAGCCGACCCTCCTCGGACTCCGGCGCCCCCTTGATCCTCTGCGGGGGCAATTGCGTCGCCCCCGCCGCCGCCTGCTCCACCTCTGTCGTCGAGCCCACCGGGCTGACGGCGCGCTTCCCTAATGCCCGTGCCTTGAGCGTGTCGGCCTCAGACCCGGGGCAGGTGATCGCCGGCCTCGAGGCGTCCTCTCCTCCTCCTCCTGGAAGCGCTGGGCCACTCACCGACGCCCCGGGCGCTGTCCCCCCAACATCGGGGAGATGGTCCAGGGGACCCCACCCCTTCGCTCTCATCATCCTCGCCCAAAGAATCCACCGACAGCGATGGCGATGGAGACACCTCCACCGGGAGACCGTCCTTCCTTTGTTGCCGGCGACGCTTCTCCAGCTGCTCACGCTCGAGGATCTTCCTCTTGCGCTTTGCCTCCTCGGCATCCTTCTTCTTCTACACCTCGGCGTGCGCCTGGTTCACCGCCTTTGCGTCCTTAGGAATGGGCGGCGGGGAGGCTCGCACATCTCTCATCCCCTATAGGAAAGACGAAGGCAAGTAAGCGAACGAGAAAATGGTGAGGAACGAGGAGGCCTCGAATGCCGTAGCAACGCGTGACTCACCAGAGATATGTACCCCTGTGATGGGCGCATCACAATAGGGGTCAGGCCACCGCTCTTCAGCCACCCCTCCACCGTCTCCCTCACCCGCCATAGAATCTCCTCATCGGAGAGGGGGGCGGCGGACATCCGGATGCCCTCGATCGGCTCATCCGGCCTCATGTCGAATAGCCGCCACCGAGCCATCAGCGGCAGCACCCTCCGGCGGTGGAAGGCAGCCATGACCACAGCCGCCATAAGGCAGCGGCTCCGCAGCCTCTCTAGGCCCTCCAGGAGCGGCTGCAGCTTGGGCTGATCCTCCCTTAGGGACGCCATACCTCCACTTCTCTGGACAGTCCTCCACGATCCGCCCGGTGTAGGGGGAAGTCCGCTGTCATCGTTGCAGAGATAGAACCAGCTGGTGTACCAGCGGCGATTGGTTGTCGTGAGCTGGGCCAGGATGTAAAGGTGCTGCCGGTCTTAGCGCACCTGGAGAGTGCAACCGCCGGCCCTCGTCGTCTTCCTCGTACCCGTCGTGCCCGTCGGCTTGGTGGTATGCCCCGCCTGGAAGAGATGGAGCCACAGCTCCCAATGGGGGGCAATGCCCAAGTACCCCTCGCAGATGGTGATAAAGATGGCCGCCTGCGCGATAGAGTTGGGATTGAAGTTGTGCAGCTCCACGCCGTAGTAATGCGGGAGCGCCCGCATGAATCGGTCCACTGGTAAGCCAAGACCACGCTCGTGGAAGGACACGAAGCTCATGATGTACCCTGCGGGTGGCCTCGGCTCGGCTCGCCCAACGGAGCAATCCACTCCGGCCTATCGGGTCGGTTATCGAACGAAGAAGGCCATCATCGATGAGCGACTGCAGCACCTCCACGGACACGTCGGATGGATCCCACGGATCTGCCGAGGATGACAGGAGGGCCGCCGGCCATTACGCGGTGGAGAATGCGGGCTACGGCGGTAAGGCTCGCTCTCTATCTCTCTCTCTCTCTCTCTCTCGCCCTTCTCCCTTCTTCTCCTCGGCGCTCTCTGTTCTCAGCAATGGCTCAGAGGCAGCAAAAAGCGAATGCAGACAAGGTAAGGAGGGGAGGGGCGAGGCTCGTTTCATATTTATGTAGGAAGGGGACGAAATAGATAGGCGGCGAAATCGGGGAAGTTTCCCTCAAATCCGGTACAGTTAATCTAGATCCGATTTAACCGCCCATGTGCCCACCTTTTCCCCATTAATCGCACGCATAGTTATGGCCCATCCGATGACACCGCGTCGCATCCGACCACAGCAACGGCAAGCGCCGTTCCCCGAGAAACCGCCTCAAAAGGCGCAACCACCGTTGTCACCGATGGGAGGGGAATATCCCCCCTCCCAATTCCTTCTAGACTAAGGAACTGGGCGCCGAGCCCATTATGATCCAGAGGTTCGAAGGCTGGGCCTCCGAGGGTCTCGATAGCCGCCCCAGGATGAACAGAGTCAGGGACAACTATGGGTGAGCCCGTACATGGCCGAGGCCCGAGCAAGCGAGCGCTCGGGATGCCCTAAGTCATGTCCAAGACCGGCAGGGAAGTCTCCGAATGGGATCCCACCGTAGGGAGGCGCCGAGCCCCCGGGGCCAATCGAACGGCCCTAGGACCCACTAGAGAAGCCCTCTGGTACTTTTGGAGTGCGTTTCTGGACCGCTTGCCGACCCCTATCAAATGGGGCACGGGCCTCCACTCGGACTTACCCGATAAAAGCTCACCGAAAGTGTCATCGCTCGCGCCCACCGAGGGTAGCCTGGCATATTCCACCCCTCCTTCCGAACAAAAAGGATGCGCGAGGATCGCAAAAAGCCAGGGGATCTCCTGATCGCCCTCTCCCTCCGTGCAAGAGGCTCGGGGGCTCCTCCTGCAACTTTGCCGAGACCCGGTGACCCAGGCTCGCACTCGAGGGCTCGACAAACAACCCCTCCTTCCGAACGAAAAGGATGCGCGAGGGTCACAAAAAAGCCAGGGGATCTCCTGATCGCCCTCTCGCTCCGTGCAAGAGGCTCAGGGACTCCTCCTGCAAACTTTGCCGAGACCCAGCGCTCGAGGGCTCAGCAAACAAACCCTCGGGCTCGATAAACGTAGTAAAACTCCTCACTCAACGGAGAAAAAGCCCCTGGAAGAGTAAACCTACTCCTCCAGGGCCTCGGGGGCTACACCCGGCGGGTGCGCTCACGCGCACCCACCGAAACCACGAGTACAAAACATAATCCCGACTGAGCTACTGCAAGCCAAGTCTCGACAAAACCACGGGGAGAGTGCTCGCACTCTTCCCCAGGCTCGAGGGCTACTGTCGTGTACCATTACAAGGGGTACCCTAAGCAAGAGCCGAAAAAATTGCTTAGCCATTGTAAAATACCAAGGCCAAAAGACAAGCACGAGGCCTCGTCCAATTCTCCGATTCGCCCGTGGCCCTCTCGCCGAGGCCCCGCAGGAAGCCTCAGACGAAGTAACGATTCTCCGACTCGCTCGAGGCCGGCTCAGCAACAACCTCGTCGCCTCCGTCTTGACTGACTTCTCTGACAAAATGTCACGTGTCCAACCACTCCCGCAACATCAGCCGCACATTGGCACAGTACACGCGGAATGGCCGACGGGACGGGAGTCACATTGACGCCAGGCAGTCAGGGACAGGACTGGGCAGAGATTGCCGGCCACTGTGCTCGGCACTGCACCCATGACTGACGCCCGTACTACACTATGCTACCTAACTCCTGCTCCGAGGGTAGAGCGACGTGGAGAGTCAGTTCCGGGTCCCTATAGCCTCGAAATCGGTGCAACAGGGCCAACTACTCACGCTCCGCCTCGCCCGAGACCCCCGGGGGGGCCTCGGACGTACTAGTCTAGCTCCGCCTCGGCCGAGACCAGGCTCGGCAACACCCTCGTCACCTCCGCCTCAACCGTCCCTCTGGCGGGCTGTCCCATCTGTTTAAAGCCCCTGAACGCACCCGGTGCGTCAGCCACGACCGGCAGTGCACAGCAACAGGGGCGATGGGACAACGGTCAAATCACCCTTTTTACCATCCCTTACTGACGATGCACTTTTTCACCTAAACCGGGTACGACCCTGACCACCGAAGCCCCCACATCATACACAGGTCACCTACAAGGCCTCGGCAAAACCAGGCCTCGGCATGGTCAACTGCGAACACTAGCAAGGCTCGGCACTCCACCTTGTCAACAATCCACAGGGCTCGGCATGTATCCTATAGTGGAGGCCATGCTAACTAGACGTCAACAGGGACTCCTACGACTTCAACCGCCTCGGGCACGACCAGCGTGACGCACTAGCAAAGGACCGACTACCATTCCCAACACCCCGCTGCTACAGGAATAGGCTACAGTGCAAGATCTTCCTTCTTCAGTAAGGCTCCACACGTGGCTCTCTCATGTACTCCTGGCTCCCTCCTTGCGGATATAAAAGGAAGCAGCCAGGGCTAGCTCTAGGGGGGAGAACGCCAGCACCCACGCGCAAAGACACTCACTCAACCCACACGCGTTTGTAACACTCTGTAACACACGTTCCCCTGCTGCCTGAGAGCAACGTCTCAAGCAGCCTACTCCATTCCACGTAGAGACCTGGGACTAGCTCCCTCTCTCACCCAGCTTGTAACCCCCTATTACAGGCACTTCGGTGCAAGGAATACAAGATCGCCCTCTCGGACTGGACGTAGGGCACCCATTGCCTGAACCAGTATAAACCTTGTGTCTTCTTGCATCACCATCCGGGATAGGGCACGCAGCACAAATTTACTAGTTGGTTGAGGACCCCCGGTCCAAAACACCGACAATATATATGCTTTGTCTCGCAGCAAAAAAAAAAACGAATATATGGTCCACAAGATATTCATTCTGCATTTAGACATTTATCAGTGATGTTCTTTTTCCACATTTTCTTCAACAATTTCCTACTGTTGCAGTAATTTATTAGCATGCATATGCACAGTTAATTAGCATCAGCTTTACGGCCGCCGCTCCTGGTGGCGGTGGATCAGTGACTCGGTGACCGCCGACAAGTGAGCCGAAACTAATGGGGGATTTGATCGGCAAAACGGACGTGTGGGTGCGCGGAAAAGGAAAATGGGCCTTTTCGGTAATGCTCGCTGCAGCGGCGAGCTTTTTCAGCGGGCACTGTTCAAAGAATTAGAAGCCAACAGGCCGAATATCTACTCATAAAAGAAGGAATGGCACGAATCGAGCCCATCTACGGCCCGCAACATGGCGGGCGAGCAAACCAAGCCAACGGATTCGGCCGCTGGCCCCGCTTGCTGTTGTTCGTTGGCGACGATGCTCGCAGGTCGCCAGCTCCAGACGCTCGGCGAACGCGTGTGCAGCGGAGAACCGCTCGGCCCATCCACGACGTACACGGTACTGCGATGAGTCGGTGAACACGCGTGCATCCTGAGTCCTGACGGCGACGGGCAGAGGCCGCCACTTTCCTGCCTCTCAACGGCAAATGAGCCCGGATCGGCGGGCACCGTCAAGCACCGACATCGGGACCCACATGTCATCACCTCAATATTTCCACTTCCATCCGAATCTGACTTCTGCTAACCTGCTATCAAATCGAATTCCTTGGCCATGGCCAAAGCTTAGGTCCAGTTTAGTTCCAGGAAATTTTGCCAAATTTTTCAGATTTCCCGTCACATTGAATCTTTGGACGCATGTATGAAGCATTAAATATAATTAAAAAATAAAACTAATTATCGATTAGATCGAAATTCACGGTCGAATCTTTTTTAGCCTAATTAGACTATGATTGATTCATCTAATTTATAAATAACAACGAAAACGTCTTTGCAATGCATTTTGTAAAAATTTTCGCCATCTGGGCCCTTAGCCTCGAAGCGTTTATTAAAGATTCACCACGCTTCTTCCACCTCACCTCCAAGTCCGCATTCGCTTGGTTGAAAACTTAATCTAAACAAAGCGTTTGTCTGCGTCTGACCCCGCGCCTCTTCCACCTCACCCCCTACCTACAACCCTATTAAAATCCGCCTTCCATTCCATTAGCTGTAGTTAGTCCTGCCCTTGCCCTGTGTTCATCCCCACATCGTTGATCGTTCCCCAATCGCATCGAGTCAATCGAGAGCGGAAGAGGAGAGATCCCGCAAGCGCATCGAATCGACCGAGAGCGGAACAGGCGCGGGGGAACCGACGATGGAGTCCACGGCGACGGCGCCCGCCACCTGCGAGATCGCGCGCCTGCCGGACGACCTCCTGTCGGCGTCGCTGGCCCGGACGGGCCGCTGGACGCCTGCCGCGCCGCCTTGGTCTCGCCGGCCTTCCGCGCCGCGGCCGACGCCGACGCCGTCTGGTCCAGCCTCCTGCCGCGCGACCTGCCCCAGCTCGCCGACGGGGAGCTCCCCGCCGACCCGCAGCCCACCAAGAAGCAGCTCTTCACGCGCCTCTCCGACTCCGCCAGACCCGTCCTCCTCGCCGACGGCCTCACGGTACGGGACCTCGACCCACGCTTCTGTCTGTCTGTCTGTCTGCGCCCTGTGGAGGTGGTTATCTTCTCGATCGATCCATCAACTGATGTGATCACTCACCCGGTTGTGTTGTGTGGTGCCGCGCAGAGCATGTGGCTGGACAGGGCCACCGCCGCCAAGTGCTACATGCTGTCCGCCAGGAAGCTGGGCATCATATGGGGCGACACGCCACAGTACTGGCGCTGGATCCCTCTCACCGACTCCAGGTCTGTGAAATCAAAACCTCCTTTTATCCATTTATTATCGGCTCCGTCAGCTCTGATGCGAATGTGAACTAAGTACTAGTCTAGATAGAAGTCAATAGTTGGCTAGTTGTGCGTTCGTGGAAATGTCTAATGGCGATTTCTTTTACATCACATTGTTTTGGGAGCAATCGAAGCAGCTTGATGGTGTTAGGACTCTTAGGTTTGCTGTTAATAATTTGTACTAAAGCAGAATCGTACCCCTGTGCATACTGCTTTCCACATGCGCATGACCAAATGCTTTTTTCCCTACCTTTCAAGAGCAAAGATTCATGGCCTTTTTTACTCTGATTCTCTAACATGAATGGATACAGCACAATTCGCTCAAGGAAAACTAATGCTGAATGAATGGCACTTTACATAAACAAATACACTATTCCATGTACCTTGTCATATGAATTTTACACTCATATAGGAGTATATTGCAAAATCTAATGCCGTGTTTGTGACAGGTTCCCCGAAGGTGCAGAGCTCCTGGACGTTTGCTGGTTGGAAATCCGTGGCAAGATACATTGCAACATGCTCTCCCAGAACACCACTTATGCCGCCTACATGGTGTTCAAGATGTCCGATGAATCCTATGGGCTAGACTATCCACTCCAGTTGGCTGAAGTTAGCATTGGGGCAACCAAATCCACTCGTCAGGTTTGCCTAGGATATGACAACGAGGGCGAGGACGGGGAAGAGGTGCCTCAGAATTACCGATCATTCAGACCAATTGGATTATTCAGACCAAGGGTAGGGAGAAGAAACCGTCGCGTGCCTCCTGGAGTGCAAGTACAGCACCCTCAGACAAGAGCTGACGGCTGGAAGGAGATGGAGATGGGTGAGTTCAAGAATGAAGAAGGTGAAGATGGCGAGGTGTCCATCAGTCTCATGGAGACCAGAGGCGGCAACTGGAAAAAAGGTCTTATTGTGCAGGGCATTGAGATCAGGGTGAAGAAATAAGGCTGGGAAGGTTGCGGGAATCGGGCTTTGAGCATCAAAGTAAAAATAAGGATCTAAGATTTGTAGTGCGTGTTTTGCAGCACTTGCGGTGTTACGCAGTATGTGGAGAAAATTGCAATTATAGGACACCAAACAATGCGCTCCGTAATTATAGGACTTCAATCGTCGACTTCGTTAAAATGACCGTTGAAACGTTGGCTTCTTATTTTAGATGACGTTTGGCATATTTCTTCATTTTATTAATCAAAATACATATATTTTAGCCCTCTTGTGACCCTTCTGCTCGGGACGATCGGGAACCTCACGGCGCTGCGGACGCTGTCGCTTTGCCTCAACGCGCTGTCCGGCGGGATCCCGGCCGACATCGGGAGCTGTGCGGAGCTCCGGTACCTGTACCTCCATGGCAACCGGCTCGATGGGCAGATACTGGAGGGGTTCTTCGGCCTCCGGTTGCTGCAGCGATTCGACCTCTCGAACAACCGCTTCGCCGGTGGGGTCTCGCCGGACTTCAACAGGCTCCGAGGCTCGCTAGTCTGTACTTTGAGAGAACAACAGCTTGAATGGCACGCTGCCGTCCAACCTTGACCTCCCGAAGCTTCAACTCTTCAACGTGTCCAGAAACAACCTCACAGGACCTGTTCCAAAGTCGCTCGCCGGGATGCCCGCGAGCGCCTTTGACGGCACATGGCTCTGTGGCGAGCCTCTAGCCCCGTGTCCAACCCCTCCGCCGCCGCCACCGTCTCTGTCACCGCCGCCTGCTCCGGGCGCTGCTAATGGTAGCAGCAGCAGGAAGCTCTCCACTGGTGTGATCGCCGGCATTGCTGCGGGCGGTGCCGTGGCGTTCTTGGTTTTGATCGCCACGATCTTCTTCCTCTGCTTTTGGTGTCAGAGGACAATGGCTGAAAAATTCGCGGCGGCGGCAGCGGCGGCCGACGGCAACCTGGACGCGTCTCCTGAGTCGGTCACCGTGGCGAGCATGGACCCGCCGCCTGGCCATGGCTGGGCGTGGCCTGGGCTGGCTGGCCGCAATGTATAGTTAATATGTAATATAAATTATTAAAGATGATCCATACACAATTACAAGTAATAGATAAAACCATGAATTTAGCACAAACGAGCTCATCTCATAAAACCATGATTCTAGCATAAACAAGTTCATCTCATAAGACCATAATTTAGTTCCAAACGAGATCCAAGTCATATGAAATAAAGTATGAGTTCACATCTTATCACAACTAAAAGAATTCATCCAATGTGTAGCTTTCTCTTTAGAGTCATCTTTTTTTGGTGCTGTCGCGGTAGACATCCTCACGGGATTAGTGGTGTCGGTTTGTGAAGATGTGCCCTCTCCTAATAACATCGCAACCTTGTTACACATAAATACGATATGACAATTATATGTATGGAAAAAATAATGTACAGTAAATGTGTTAATATTCCTTACATTATGGTGACCCTTCCTGGACTATCCCGTAGGATTTCTTCTCTAATCGGCCTCCGTGGGGTGCTAGGTTCTGCTGGCGCAGTTTTTGTAGCATTCTTCCAAGGTTGCCTACGCTTCCTACAAGTAATCAGATAAATTAATATTGACATTTTCATTTAAGTTTCTTGATAAAGAAAATCACTTCTTACCTCTTTTTTGCTGTCCCATTTAATGGCCACTTGGCACTAGCTTCCCTGTGACCCTTTTCTCCGCATTTTTTGTAAGTCATAGGTCCTCTGATCATCTTCTTTCCCTTTCCATTTGTTAGAGCAGTATCGTTGTCACATCCCTTCTCACCTTCACCCTCGTTGGTACATTCACCATCTTTGAAAACTTTCTTCTCGTGGCCACCTTCCATCCATCCTTTCCTTCTTAGTTTCCTTCGTCTTCCAACAGGTAATTTAGCAAGAGGTGCACCAACTAAAAATGGTAGGTCAACTTGTGGCCATTGTGTTTTGTCTATCATCGGCTCAATCTCTCTACCATAAGCAGCCCTGAATCTATTCACCGAGTAATAGTCATGCACAAACTGTTCAAGGTCAACTCCCCGTTGGTGGGTTACATAGGCCAATACATGTTGACATGGCTTACCAGTGTGCTGCCATTCAAGACAAGTACAGGTCCTTTGGTGTAACTTGACAATATGCCTCTCAACTCTGCTGCTATGGTCCCACACTTCTACACTCCAATTAGAACATGGTACAATTTTCAAGTGTCTCAAACCTCTAGTATTTGCCTTTAGCTGATGCATAATAGCTGGAAGTATCCCGCCTTCAGGTAGCCTGTATGCAATATTTCTTCTCTTGTTCCAAAGTACCATGATCATTTCTCTAATCTTATCAGCAAGGTCAGCAACAGGTAAGTCTTTATGGTCTTTAATCCAGTTGTCGGTGTTTCGAGTAAACACCAACTAGTAATTTGTATTTGTTGCGCGTTAGGCCTGGATGGTGTGCTAAAAGACATAAGGTTTATACTGGTTCGGGCAGAATGTCCCTACATCTAGTTTGCTGCTGCTCGTGTTATTAGCACTGAAAAAGGTTCGTAGTAGGGGTACAAACGGTCGAGAGAGGGACATGTCCCAAGTCTCTGATGGAAAGGTCAAAAGAATGCCAAGAGCTCGGTTGCTGCTCACCTATGTGTTATGTGAAGCGTTGTGTGTTGAATTGATCCGTCCCTTTAGTGGAGTGACATGTCCTCCCTTTTATAGATCAAGGGAGAGCAGGGGTTATAGATAGGAGAAAGAGTAAAAAAACCAGAGGTAGAGAAGGTCCTTTCGAAGGTGCCGAGTGAAAGCTCTAGTTTGGTTTTGGTGAATTGATGAAACCCTAAGTGCTAACCTAGTTTATCAAGTGATCATGAGATAGGTAGCACACTCCAAGTGATGAAGCAAATGAAGATCATAGCATGATGATGATGATCAAGTGATTGGACTTGAAAAGAAGAAAGAGAAAAACAAAAAGCTCAAGGCAAAGGTATAAACCATATGAGCTATTTTGTTTTGGTGATCAAGACACTTAGAGAGTGTGATCACATTTAGGATTGATAGCCGTACTATTAAGAGGGGTGAAACTCATATCGGAATGTCGTTATCAAAGTGCCACTAGATGCTCTAACTCATTGCATATGCATTTAGGATCTAGTGGAGTGCTAACACCTTTGAAAATGTTTGTGAAAATATGCTAACACTTGTGCACAAGGTGATACACTTGGTGGTGTTGGCACATTTACAAAGGAGGTGGTGTTTGCCTTTGAGATGGGTTTGGGTCGGCGGGTTCGCAAAAATAGAATGCCTATTTTCTATTGGCGCCGGATGAAAATTCTTGTGGTAGACATTTGAGCAAGGTTAGAGTTGAAATGGAGTTGGTCGAAATGATGTCAAGGCCGGTCTCTTGATGATGGGTCAGAAAGACGGAAAAAACATGGCAAGTTGAGCACGGACGACCGGTCTGCAGTCCGGTTAGACGAAGCGTCCTTCGCCTCATGGAGCTTTATCGAAACGACCGGACCGGGCTTCAGCTTCATTCGATCCAGTTTTTTTTGAGCGTCCGGTCGCCGCTTTCAGAGCCGCTGAAATCGGCGAATCGTGCGGCGTTTGAAGCTGGTGACGCGTGATGCCCATCGGCGGATCGACGCCGAGAGCGCTGCGTTCGAGATGACCGAGCGTCCGGTCGAGCGCTATTTGCCCAAAGGAAGGGTATAACGGCTCTATTTGATTGGGGCTCTATTTATAGCTCCATGGCCGGCTCAAGGAAAAACTCTTGCACATTTTCATTGACATAGCAACCTTGTGAGCTTAGCCAAAGTACTCCCACTCATCTCCATCATTGATCCATCATCATTGTGAGATTAGGAGAGAATCCAAGTGCATTGCTTGAGTGATTGCATCTAGACGCACTTGGTATTCGTGTTGCGTCATGGATTTCGCTTGTTTCTCTTAGTGGTTGCCACCACCTAGACGGTTGGAGCAGCGGTGAAGGATCGGCACGAGTTGGTGATTGTTCGTGGCCGCCTTCGGTGATTGTGAGGGGAGTTGTACCTTCCCCGGCGGAGTGCCAAAAGATAACTCTAGTAAATTGCTCGTGTCATTGAGTTACCTCACTTGTGGGTCGGTTCTTGCGCGTGTCCTATCATGTGGACGAGGTTTGTGAAACACCTCTTAGTGGTGTTGGTCGATTAACGGGGGATTAGCGTGTTGCAAGCACGTGAACCTCGGGAGAAAAATCAGTTGTCTCTTGTCATTTGCATTCTCCCGGTGATTGGCTCAATCTTCATCTTGTGATTGGTTCACTCCATGACCCGGCGGTATAATCGTATCACTTACTCATTTATATTTCCGCAAACTAGATATAGCAAGCTCTTTAGTGTAACTAGAATTGAGAGCTTGCCTTGTGCTTTAAACATATCTAGTGGAGCTCTTTAGTGTAGCATTTGTGAGAGCTCTTAGTGAGTAGTAGTCAAGTAGATTGTGTGCCAATTGATCATTGCAACTAGAATTGTTGGACAGGTGGCTTGCAACCCTTGTAGAGCTAGAGCAAGTTTGCATTTCGCTATTTGTCTTACTAATCAAATTGCTCTAGTTGATTTGTAGATGGTGCCAGGGATAGCACATTTCGCTAATCCTGATAGGGCCGTGCTCTGGCTTCGTTCAGCAAGTGGTCACGTCTCATCCTACTCCGGCGGATGGTGCGGCGTGTGAGGGTGCCGAGCCGTGATCCTACGGGGAGTAGACAGGGAAGTGACCAAACGTCCGTTACTGTAGACGATGTGAGTTCCCTCCTGGATTGTAGTGGTTGTCGTATGCTTATGTCAGGGTCCGCGTCCGAGGGCTGATGGCAGCGCCCACAACGCTGTAAGACAAAAGGCGGCGCCTACAATACTGTTTGGGCCCCTGCCATGCCTGGAAGGGTTTAAAGCGCCCATCCCGTTATATCATGACGGTACTTCCCTACAGGCGTGCAGGGTATGGTCCTCGGTACTGTGTTTGACTTGAGTGTCCTGTCTTACCCCATGCTCGTCATCATGAAGGAGCAGGGTGCAGACGTTGGGCGAGGCGGAGCCTGCCCTCGGACGTCGGGCGAGGCGGAGCCTGCCCTCAGCCGTCGGGCGAGGCGGAGTGAGCCCCCGGTCGTCGGGCGAGGCGGAGCCTATCCCTAGACGTCGAGCGAGGTGGAGCCAGTCCCGGGTCATCGAGTGAGGCGGAGTCTAGCCCTTGGGGGTCGGGCGAGGTGGAGCCAACCCTTCGGGGCCGGGCGAGGCACAACCAACCTTCGGTCGTACGGGCAAGAAGTGTAGTTGCGTTCTTGTCCGTTTGGAAGCATCAATGTTTGATGGTTATTAGCTCCACCTCTATGGGTACCCCAGTATTTGGTCTCCGACACCAGTTATTAAATGACTCAGCAATATTACTAGTTATGTAGTCACACTTAATTTCTGGATTGAAAGCACACCTATACCATAATAGCTTATGATTGGTTTGTAACCATTTCACTGCTTCTGCTGATTCACTTACCATTTTTGCTATATTGTTATAGAATATGTCTTCTCTGTAAGCCCTTGCCGCATGATATATCTGTCAAAACCCTCTAAATCTCTTCTGGAATTTTTTGACAAGATGATAAAAGCATTCTCTTTGCTCTGCATTTGGGAATACATTCTTCACTACATTCTCCAAGCCCTTGCAAGCATCAGAACAAACAGCAAGGAGTGAAGAATCACCTATTGCCTTCTTTAATTGCTCCATGAACCAAGTCCAGTTGTCTGTTGTTTCAGAAGCTATGAAGCCATAAGCAAGTGGATACATCCAATTATGATCATCAACTGCTATAGCTGCGGCCAAGTGACCATTCCACCTTCCATTAAGTGCTATAGCATCTATGCTCAAATGAGGCCTACAACCTTCCAAGAAACCATCAATGCATGGTTTAAGAGCACAGAAAAAACGATGGAAATATACTTGACCATCCACCTCAAGGACCTCAATTTCAACGACACTCCCGGAGCACCGCTTCATTACCTCGGCCTTCCACCTAAACAACAACTAAAAACTCTCTTCC